CAGGGGAAGACCAGAAAGCTCCGCTCCGAGTCCCTGAGGCCAGCTCCTCCTTGGGTGTCCAGTTAGCTAAGCCAATAAATTTCCTTTTTTCCCCTTAAACTGCTTTGAAATGAGGTTCAGTGTCTTGCAACCAAGAATCCTCACAAATACATCCCCTGTGGCCGGAATGGTGTGCCCACCAGGGAGGGGTTTGCAGGGGCCAGACAGTAATAACACAGTAGCTACCCTTTACTGAGAGCTTCATTTGCACCCACCTCTATCCTGACCATTGAGCGCATTATCTCCTTTAACTCTTACAACACCTTTCAGGTGGGTATATTATTATCTCCATGTTTCAAATGAGGAAATTGTGGATCAGAGAGGTTGAGTAACTTGCTCAAAATCACACAGCTAGTAAATGGCAGGGCAGGAATTTGAAATTAAGGCGCTTCCCCAGGAAGCAGGTGAGTTGAGCTCCAGGTGACAGATGTTACCTCGTGCTGACTGAATTGTGCAGTTCACAGGGAAGGTTGGTCTGCTTGCCCCTGAGAGCTCGGTTACTCTGACTACTGAGATCATGCCAGAACCAGAGAAATCGTTAATGTTGACTCATCTCTCCCCTGTCCAGCATGTTGCCAACTCTGAAATCTCAGGAAACAGAGAATGGCACATTTAATTGAAGGCGCAGCGGCGGTGAGTCAAGGAGGGAAATTCCTGAAGCGGATTCTCGGAGGGAACCTGAGCCACTTTTAGAACACAAGGCAGAGAGAAGTCCTTGAGAAGCATGCGCTTTAAAAAGAAAGCCGGGTATATTTAATTTTTTTAAAATATGAAGTTGTATAAGGATTCCACAGGGCTGATTGGCTTCCCTCTCTCCCCCCTCACGGTTTCCCCCCGTCTGTGACAGTGGTGCCTTCTGTCTAGGCTACTGTGCATTGGTGCTTCTGGTACTTGCAGTCGAAAGCATTTTAATAAGTTAAGTAGGTGCTCCGGGAATGTTTGCAGCTCCTAGATTGTGCGGCGTTGGTAGAGGGATCAGAGAGGAAGGGAGAGGGGGAGAGAGAGAGAAACATCAAGGATGAGAGAGACACTGATGAGCTGCTACGTGCGCCCCCCACTGGGGATCGGGCCAGCAACCCAGGCATGTGCCCTGACCGGGAATCAAAACATGACCTCCTGGTTTCTCTCTCTGAAATCAATAAAAACATATTTTTTAAAAAAAGAAAGAAAAAAGAACAGAACAAGGACAGTCTCCTATGTGACCACAATGCCCTTATCACACCTTGGAAAAACAACAAGAATTTAAGAACATCTGGTAAGCAGATGTTATTAAATTTCTCCCATTGTTCCAATATCATCTTTTATAGTTTGGTTGTTGTAGCTTTAGTTTCTTTTACTCTTAATCAACCCCACCCCACGCACACTGCCTATTTATTTTTTATGACCAACTCTGACCAGTTCGGTAGGGTTTTCAGTATTGCTAATTGAGATGGAATCTAACACTATCACCAGACTCACGGTAAGTTAAAAAAAAAAAATTTTTTTTTTTTAAAAATCTGTGATTGATTACTCATGTCTGCTATGGGTTCAGGTTAGGGAGGCATTAAAAAGGGCTTGAGAATCAAAAGGGAACATAAAAGAGGAGACCCTAAAAGGCATTGCTGAATGACTTAAGTCCTGCAGACCATGAACCAGAGTGGAAATACCATGGGCCTTGTCATTAGACAGAGCTGACTTTGAATCTTGGCTCTGCCCCATTCCTTAGCTCTGTAATTTTGGGCAACTTATAAAACCTAATCTCTAAAATGGGACTGTTCTGCAGATTAATTTAAATGACCAATAATAATAATAATAGGTAATACTTAGCAATTTTTATGTGCCAGGCATGGTCCTAACACCTTTATAAACTTCATTTGATTCACAAAACAACTCTTTAAGGTTATTATCCCCAATTTACCAGTGAGGAAGCTACAGTTCAGGAAGGTTAAGATCCTTGCCAAGGGTGATACAACTCACAAGTGGCAGAGCCAGGACTCGGGCAGGCAGCCTGGCTCCGAGTCCACATTCCCTACCACCTTCATAGCTACTACAAGCCAGCACTTTCCACTGCTAATTGTTACCATTACGCATCGAGCACCTGAAAAACTCTGTGATTTAACTTAGCTCTGAAAGACTTGCACCCTGAAGTTTGCACATGCAAAAAACCCATTTAATAGAGCATGTCATCTCAAACCAGGCAAGCTACCTACTCCTGAACAGGACAAGTGCATGAGCTCACCCGAGAGAGAGAAAGTAAGAAAAAATCAGGACCTAGGAACTTGGCCTCTAACAAAACATCGTGGCCTTTTTGCTTTTTGCTGTAGCAGGAAAAGTTTGCTAAAGATCCACCCAAATCCACAGGACAGGGAAGCCAGGTGAGGGAGTCTTCAGCATGTGGGGAGCCCGCCCCGCTTTCTCCTGTTGGGAAGGAGGCCTTCCTTCACACAGTGGCTTTAGACCAGTTGTCAACAAATTAGGCCCCTGGGCCAAATCCTGCCCAGCATTGGTTTTTGTAAATAATGTTTTGTTGGAACATAGCTGGGCTTACTCTTTGATTTTGTCTGTGGCTCTTTTCACACTATAACAGCAGATCTGAGTAGTTGCACGAGAGACCATATGGCTGTAAAATCGCCCACTGGCCCTTTGCAGAAAAAGTTTGCTGATCCCTGCTTTCCACTTTTGGCTAGATTTTCTAGATATCGATACGGCACATGTAATCGATCTTAGGTCCTTGATCAGGGAAGGAGAAACAAGACGGCCCCTTGGGATTTGGAAGCAGCCCAAGTGCCCATCAGTAGGCGAGTGTATAAAACAGCTGTGGTCCTTTTATACAACAGAATACTACTCTGCCGTAAAAAGGGAGAAGATTTTACCCTTTGTGACAGCATGGATGGACCTGGAGAGCATTATGCCAAGTGAAATAAGCCAGTCAGAGAAACACAGGTGCCATATTTCACTCATATGTGGAATTTAATGAACAAACTAAACTACCAAGCAAAATAGAGACAGATTCATGGAGAGCAGGCAGACAGCTCGGGGTGGGGTGGG